GCCAAGCCTAACTCAGCCTCTTAATTCATAAAACCTCCATCAACATTTGCTGAAGTAGGGTGGTAAAAAGTTGAAACAGCAACATAACAGGGAAAAGCCTTGGAAGTTGAAATTTAACTTTGTTCTTTTTTTTTTCTTTTTAAGCAAGTCTTTACTATTTATTTATTTTTTTATTTTTGGAGAGACAGAGTCTCACTTTGTCGCCCTGGGTACAGTGCCATGGCATCATAGCTCATAGCAATCTCTAACTCTTGGGCTCTAAGCTATTCTCTTGCCTCAGCTTCCTGAGTTGCTGGGACTACAGGTACCTGCCACAATGCTGGGCTGTTTTTAGAGACAGGGTGGTCTCCCTTACTCAGACAGGTCTCTCTTGCTCAGGCTGGTCTCGAACCTGTGAGCTGAGGGCATTCCACCCGCTTCAGCCTTCCAGAGTGTTAGGATTACAGGCATGAGCCACTCGCCTAGATATAATTTTTTTTTTTTTTTTTTTTGAGACAGAGCCTCAAGCTGTCCCCCTGGATAGAGTGAAGTGGCATCATAGCTCACAGCAACCTCCAACTCCCAGCCTCAAGTGAGTCTCTTGCCTCAGCCTCCCGAGTAGCTGGGACAACAGGCGCCCGCCACAACGCCCAGCTATTTTTTGGTTGCTGGCGGCATTGTTGTTTGGATTATATGATAAATGATTTTTTTTTGAGACGGTATTTCACTATGTCACCCTTGGTAGGGTGCCGTGGCATCACAGCTCATAGCAACCTCCAACTCTTATGCTCAAGTGACTCTCTTGCCTCAGCCTCCCAAGTAGCTGTAGCTGGTGGGACTACAGGCACCTGCCACAATGCCCAGCTATTTTTTTTCTTTTGTTTGTTCAGCAGGCCCTGGCGAATTTCGAACTCACTAGCTTCAGTACATGTGGCCAGTGCCCTAACCATGGAGCTACAGGTGCCAAGCCTGATGATTTATTTATTTATATATATATATTTTTTAAAGCAAGGGAAAGAGACTTGGTGCCTGAGCTAAGTGTTTAGGCCACCGGCCACATGCATCGGGGCTGGTGGATTTGAACACCACCTGGGCCTGCTAAACAATAATGACAACAACAACAAAAATAGCTGGGTATTTTGGCAGGCACTTGTAGTCCCAGCTACTTGGAAGCTGAGGCAAGAGAATCCCTTAAGCCCAAGAGTTTGAGGTTGTGGTGAACTGTGATGCCATGGCACTCTACTGAGGGTGACAGAGTGAGGCTCTGTCTCAAAAAAAAAAAAA